GCCACGGGCTCTGGGGGCGGAGGCAGGTCTGGGCGCGTTGATATGGACTATGTTCTCACCGGAGAGTAGACACCCCGGAAGAGAAGGGGCGAGAAATGCCAAGGCAGAGCGCCAGAGACGCAGAGAAAGGTATTGAGAGACACAGAGATAGAGAGACACAAAAAGAGACAAAGAGACACAAAGAGATAGAGAGACGAGGTAGGGAGAAACATAGAGACACAAAGAGATGAAAAGACAGCCAAAGGACGGAGAGACAGAAAGACAGAGAACGGCCGGAAGAGGGGGAAACGTGGGCAAAGAGAGACACATACAAAGAGTCAGAGTGAGACGTACAGAGACACAGTGAGAAACAAAGACTGAGAGACCCATAACCGGAGACAGAGGGAGAGACAGAAAGAGACAGGGATGCAGAGACCTGTGAAGAGAATGGAGATAAAGAGACAGAGACGGAGAAGTCCTCAGAGGCAAGAACCGGGCAGGCGGTGCTGTCCACATTCTCCCTCCCGGCCCACCCTCTCCCCAGTCACCGGGCCCAGGAAGCTCTAGGGACCGCGGGCTAAGGTTGGTGGTGTCTGGGCGGAGCCACTGGGAAACGGTGACCAACCTCTCTAGCAATGATGCCTCCCATCTCCCAGAAAACTCCAGACCCCCAGGTTGTGGGCTGCAGTCTCTTCTCTGTAGCCCAGCTAGGTTCTGAGGACTCTGTCCAGCTATGTGACTCAGGGTGGGGACTTGCTCTTTCTGGGCCTCAGTTTCCCAGTCTATAAAGTGAGGGAGAGGATCTGGATGTTACCTTCCCCGCAGGGCTAAAGCAGGTGCAAAGGAACTCCCTGCAGGTATTCTCCAGGTGGGCAAACTGAGACCAGAGAGGTCAAGGGCTTTGCTGAGGTCACACAGTGCCGTGGAGACCACCCATGCCCTCTAGACCACCATAGTATGAAAGAAAGAAGGGCATTGCATAGTCCTGGCCCATGGGGTCTGTGCCCTGCCCCTGTCTGTTTAAACATTTTCCCGAGCCTCAGTTTCCCTTTCTAAAAAATGGGTGTGACAATGACAACAGTGTGCTGGATCCCACTCAAGCAAGCTGATTGTTGAAGTCTCAAGAATTTTGGTACTGGTTGTTAAGCTGCCATGATTAAAAATTATATTATGCAAACATACAATTAAATAAATTGTGTTTAAAAAAAGGTAGTAAATACTCATCACATCTTAATTATTTTACCACGTTTTACTATTATGTGTCATCCTGAGGTTATTTACTTCTATTATGTATCTGCATGGTAAGGTGCAACCCCTCATCTCTTCCCCAGAAAACACTTACACGATGTCACGTTGGTAGTTTGAAATCAGCCATGGTGGGAACATTTACACCATGGAAATTGGTAAGTGCTAAATGCAAGGTTTTGCATCCCCACTCCCCAGAGAGCTGGTTGATACACACTGACCAGCACATCACTGATTGATACTACCAGCTTCATAGACTCCTGGAGGCTTCGTCTATGCCAGGCTCTGAGCACTCATCCTTTCTGCCCCGCCATGAGTTTGGACCAGATTTATCAACCCTACTCACAGAGACCCAAAGAAGAAAAATCAGATGCTGACGGTGACACAACTGGTGAGCAGCAGGGCTGGGGTTTGCATACAAGTGTCTCCAAACTCCAGAACTCGGGCTCCTCACCACGATGGTTTCCTGTCCCTGAGTAGTATTAGTAGCAGCCTCAGTTTGCAACAAATTAATGAGACTTTGCAAATAAAGTGCTTCTCGCAGGAACAGATTAGGGAACAGATTAGAACTCCTCAAGTGGGTGATATTATTATTCAGCAAATGGAGCCTGAGGAGTCTCAGGGATGGTGGGAGGCAGAGAGGGAGGAATTCAGGATGTTGTTCCAGAACCTCTGCGATCCCAAGGGTTCTGCGGGTTGAGGGATGGGGTCTCAGGGATGGGATGGAGGGCTGAATCAGCCCAATACCTTCCCAACCCTAGCGCTGAGAGCTGCATTCTCCCATGCACCGCACGGGGGCAGAAGATCACCTCCCCACACACGTTTGCCCACCACATTTCAGGGGTCCATCCTGGCTCCTCAGTTCCCAGTACTGTCCCCACGCATTTCCCAGATAGAGGAACTGAGGCTTAAAGAGGGGTGGCTACAGCATGGAAGAACCTTGAAAAATGATGCTTAGCGAAAGAAGCATACAAAAGATCATTTACTGTACAATTTCATCATATGAAATATACTGAATAGGTAAATCGATAGTGACAGAAGGTAGGGGAGGTTATATATATAGCTCAGTGCTTGAGTGCGTCCTGGGTTCAATCCCCAGTACCTCCATTTAAACAAACAAACAAACAAACCTAATTACCCCCTAAAAAAAAACAAAGACCAACATAGTGGCAGAGAGTAGATTCAGGGTTGCCAGGGGCTGGAGTGGGAGAAGGGGATGGGGAACCACTGCTAATGGGTTACAAGGATTTCTTTTTGGGGTGGTGATAATGTTCTGGAACTACACAGTGGTGATGATTGCCCCAACCTTGTGAACATACTAAAAACCTAAAGACTGTTGACTTATACACTTTTAAAGGGTGAATTTTATGGCATGTGAATTGTATCTCAATAAAAAACAAAATTTTTGAAAAGTGGGGGAGACCCAACAGTGGCCACAGCCCATAACAGGCCACTTGGTTCCAGCCAAGCCCGGGCTGCCTTCTGACTAGCACTGGTCCACGCTGACCTGGGGAGGACAAAGCCTGTCCCTCCCCCTCCCCTCTTGGCCACTGCAGCAGCCCCTTCCCCAGGACCCATTGCCTGGCAAATCCAGTCCTTGAACTGAGCCCTTCAGGCCTTGGAATCTTAACCTCTGCCCCACTTAATCCTAACCTGCTGTCTACTGAGCCCTCGAGCCCTCACTGGGGCTGGGAGAGCAGCAGTGATGCTAACCGTAATCCATCCCAACTCCATTTTTTTAATTTTTAGGTTTTTAAATTTATTATTTTTGATGGGGAGGAGGGAGGCAATTAGGTTTGTTTGTTTATTTAACGGAGGTACTGGGGATTGAACCCAGGACCTTGTGCATGCTAAGCACACACTCTACCGCTGAGTTATACCCTCCCCACCCAACCCAAATTTTACTGAGGTGAGTGATCACTCTCTCAGGTCCAACACCTGGGATGCTGTGACTGAGCCCTGGGAAGGCCACCTAAGCCTAAAACCCAGCCTTAAAAGTAACTTACCCTGCATCGAACCCCATCCAACCCCCAACCCATTCTCAGCCCCATCTGACCTGCCAGCTCCATCCCCACAACTTCCAGTCCTTACCTTTGACCCATCCCCATTCGTGCACCCAGTTGACAGATCTTTCCTGAGCACCTACTCTGTGCCCGGTGTGCATCAAGGGATGTAAAGATGAATCAGGTAAGCCAAACCTGCTTTGAATTTACATTCAATTGGGACAGTCGGAAAATCTATCAGGGAGACAGAGGAACCTGATCATTTCAGATTATAGAAGGTGCTGTAAAGGGATTGAGAAATCCCAGCAACGTCCTGGGGGAGAGAGAGTACAGGAGGGAGCAGAAGTGCTTTTGCTGGTCGAGGAATGTCTCCTTTGAGGAAAGGACGCTGGAGCTGAATCCTGGGTAATACGGAGGGAGGGGGCCATCTGGAGACTTGGGGACAGGGGCTTTCAGGCAGAGAGGACCACAATTCTGAAGCCATGCCCAGCGCCACCCCCTGAGGCCTCCAATCCCAGCCCCTGGACCCAAAAGAGTATTCATCCATGAGCAGGGAACCCAAAAGAGAGCTTTGGGCCCACATCCAGTGTGGAGTGTCTCTGCGAGGTACCCAGGATGGTGTTGTCACCTCAGGAGGTGTGAAGAACAGTCAGGGGGTGCCAATTCCGGACTGGGGTGTGGTGAGGGTGGGGATCTGACAGCAGCCTTGTTCTTCTTCTAAGCCCAACCACAGCCTGGCCTAAAAGGGCAGACAGATAACAAGTCCTTCCCGCCCCTGGCCCCAGAGAGGGAGGGGTTTCCTGACAGGAAATTGACCTCCTCTTACCCCCCCTCCTCAGATCCAAGCTCTCAGCAGTCCCGGCTGAAGTAGCCTCAGGACAGGAGAGCAGCAGGGACAGAGGGACATTGACAAGAAGGTGAGTGTGCGGGAGGAAGGGCCCTCTGAATTTGCGGCTGGACCAGAATTTGGGAGAAATATGTGCCCTGAAGCCAGGAGAGGCTGGGGACTAAAAGAGAATCTAGGGCCTGACCTTGGGAGGGTGCCAGTGAGAGGAGAAAGGAGCGGGAGGAGGGTGCAGGGAAGACCTTGGGGTCTCTGAGGGTCCAGGCTTTGAGGGTGCCGTGGAGAGCCTGCAACACCAAGGGACAAGCGAGAAGTGTCATTGGGTCGGATGCTCTCTGAGCTCAGGTAGGAAGGCTGAGGCCAGAGAGGGATGAGCGCTTTGCTCCATCCCCGAGAGATGAGGTCTTGGAAGTGGGAGTGGGGACGAGGGTTGGAATGGAGATGGAGCAGGAGACAGAGATGGGGACGAGGTTGGGAGTGAAGATGTGAATCAGCTTGAAACAGGCTGGGCTGGTGACAGAATTGTTTGGGGGCAAGGTCTGGATTGGGGTTGTAGAGGTCTGGCTTGGATACACAATTTGTAAAGGCAGTTCCCTAATCCGGACACTGGGGACTGGAGGTGATGATTTCTGCAAACAGGTTGGCCCGTCTGCACAGGGTTTGGAACTTTGGGGAAAGGCTGGCAGCAAGGAAAAGGAGGAGGAGCCCAAAGAGGGAAGCTCTGGTGGCCAAGACATCCTGCAAGAGCTGGGAGGCTGGGGGCTTGAGGGATGCCTCGGAAGTGAGTCAGGGGCTGGGCACTGGAAGGCAGACGAGGGGGCTGGATGGGGCAGGATGTTGGAGTCAGTTTGCAGAGGTGGGTGTTGGAGCCAGGAAGGGGAAAGACGTCGGGGACAGTTTTGGGAAAATGTTGCAGCTAGGTCTGGGGATGTTGGAAATGGTTTGGGCATATTGGATCCAGTCTGGGGGTGGATGTGAGAGCCAGAGGGGGAGTGTCAGACTTAGTTTTGGTGAAAAAATCTAGTTTGGGTGATGTTAACTTCAATTGGAGGGAAATTGGAGCCCCCTGTTTTGAGTGAAAAGGTAGAGTTTTGGGGGGGCAATGATGGAGCTGGCTCTAGGGGATGATGGAGCCATTTTGGGGATAAGGCATGTGGAAACCAGTCTGGAAGATGAAGACTGAGAAATCAGGGTATGAATAGTGTGTGTGTATAGGGGGCTGGTATCGATTTCCCACAGCCGTGGGGGTGCCAGACAAGGGTTGCCATGGTGACTGCCTCCCTGGGGGATCAGGGACCAAGGAGATTGGAGAGGCTGGGATGTTGTTTCCAGGAACAGGAGGCTTGAAAAACAACAGCTAAGGTCTAGAGGCTGAAGTCAGGGAGGAAAGAAGGGGGCTCCTCACTAAGAAAGGAAATGCTCTGGCCCACGGCTCAGCCAACTTAGGGCCCCTTCTGCATTAGCCTTACCTGAGGCCCCCCATGCACCCCACCCACTGCCCAGTCTTGACCCTGCCCCTCATCTGCTCAGAACCCATCCTGGTTTAAAACAACCTACATGTCCAGCCATAGAGGGACGTGTGAACATCTGACACTTTACACAGTTTCGTCACAGTAACACCGTGGAATAGTATGCAGCACTTAAATCAGTTAATGCCACAGAGACAGGCATGGGTAAATCTCCCATGTATCAGGTGAGAAAAAATAAAAAGCAAGTTACAGGGGATACACCTAGCAGGACAGTGTTTATAGAGAGTTTGAAACCATGTAAACAGTATGTTTGTTTTCTATACTTTTCTGAATGTTTGGACTATTTCATCATTTTCAAAAGCACCCTTCCATGGCTCCCCAGTGTCCTTGGGAGAATGCCCAAGCCTGCTCCTTGCTGACCTCTCCAGTTTGATTTCTCATTCCTCCTACCTCAGAAGGAATGGAGCCCTTGCCTTTGTTTCCTGTTTGGCACCCATTCATTCCCAGAGGGCCTGCCCTGGGAGCTGGGGACAAAGTGGTGACCCAGATCAGCCCTGCCCCTGCCCTCTTGAGGCTCACAGTCCAGTGGAGGACACAGATCCATCCCTGGACAGCGATGACCCAGAGTAGGAGTCCTGAGAGGGGGCACCTGACTCAGCTTGGGCATCCAGGAGGGCTTCCTGGAGGAGATGGCATTGGAGCAGTACCTAAAGCCTGAATGGAACATGGAAAACAGATTTGCATGTAAAAGGACCAGTACATGCTGAAACCCAGAGGCGCCTGGAGTAAGGAGGAGGAGAACGTGGATCAGCACTGGTGAGGTGCATGGCTGGCCAGCGAGAGGGCTGGATTTTGTCCCGAGGGCACTAGGGAGCCACAGAAGGTTAAGAGAGGGTGAGGAGCAGGTTTGAGCCTTAACAAGATCCTCAGGGGTGGACTAGAGGACTAGAGGCTGGAGACCGAGGAGGAGGCTGAAGCAGGGATGCAGGAGGGGCTTGGACTAGGGTAGGGGCCATGAAGAGGGAGGAGACAGGGATTTAGGAGATGGAAGGGGGAAGACTTTGGAAGCTTCAAGCCCCATGAGGGCAGGGACTGGGTCTGCTTTGGCCACTGCTGTATTCTCAATGCCTACACAGGGCTGGGCCCATGGCAAATACTTAATAAGTGTGCGTGTGTGTGTGTGTGTGTGTGTGTGTGTGTGTGTGT